GTACTGTGTAGAGTTGGAAGGCTAAGCTAGCTTCCAGAAGGTTTCAGCAGGGCCTTGATCCATTTAGATCTACTTTAGAAAGATATTTCTGGTAAGAGTGAAGACAGTGCGGTGAGTGAGGTGGGTGCCAAGACCTGCAGAGTCTCTGCTGCAGGAGACACCACGGGGTGCCAGGGGAGCCCTGAAAGACCTTGAGAAAACTCAGTGGGAATGGTGATCACAAGGGAGAGCCCGAGCTGGGGCTGTTTCGCAATGCAGATGGAGAACACAGGTGAAAGAGCATATGCTGCCACACTGTTCCAAGTCCATGTGACGCTTCCAGGTTATTGGGTGAGGTTCAAAGGTTTTAGATATTAATTCAGAGTTGGCAGGAGAGGCTGACTAGGCAAGGGTCCTGCATGAGACCCCGCCAGGTAAAGGAGAGACTGCTACTGTCCCCTGATTCTTCTGCTCATTTTACAGAACCTGGGGAAAGTGCACAACTGTGTTCATAAAGGAAGTAGGTGAGCTGCCAAATTTCAACTCTGAGCCAGAAATAGGCCAAGAAGAACCAATCACAATTGGGCCTTGGGGAGTAAGTCCCCAGTCCCCAGGGAAGCCCTCACCCCCCCCTTAGCTCTGCATCTCAAATCAACAACAAAACAAAACAAAGAAAAACACACCAAACCAAATTGTTGTGGGTATAAACGTGGTTTTGTTTTGGTCCCAGGTGTGGGAGGTGGGACTGACTCAGATGGTCCAGAAGAGCAAACTATCTGCCTCGTGCAGGCTCTGAGAGGAGCTTTGTGCCAGCTGCAGATAGTTTAAATCTGAGGTCTCTGGAGAGAATAAATGCCAGAGAGCAGAGAATGTGGAGCACCAAGAAAGAACAAGGCTGCTCCTGCTTCTCCACTGCAGCTCCTAGCTGCTGTTGTGAAACAAGAAGATGGAGATCTATTGAAATGAGGCCTGGACTGGCTCCAAGGTACCTGATGACCCTAACCAGCAGGGAGCAGCAGAAAGAACTGAACCTCTTCTCCCATTAACCCTTTCTCTCTTCTACTTGGTGTTGGGATGTTGGAAGGGACTGCGGTGGAGTAAGGAGAAGATATAAGACACATAAATAAAAGTTTTTTTTTTCTAAAAAGTACACCTACTCCAAATAAGGAAAAACAACACAACAACAAACCTCAAAACAAAGAACAAAAAACACTCTGCAAAACATAAAAAAATCAACAATAAAAATAAATAAACCAACTTCATGAAAACCATGATAATAACCTCATGATGAGATTAGATGTCTTCAAACTGGACCTAAGCCTTTAAGCTTATTAAAGTAAACACTACTCATAAAGCCCAATAAAGACATATAAAAAAGAAAATAATTAGAGAGAAAGTGTAAGAACTTGTAATTTTGGGGAATTTTTATTCTGAAAATGTTTAATAATATAAATGCAATAAAAAGCTGCATGACTACTGGTTGAACTTTTTTTTTCATTCATTGGTATCTAATGTATGATATGGTATTTAGGATCAGGCATTCAGATCCTTGGTATTAGTGAAGTGAGTAGGAAAGAAAATGAACATGAAAGTTTTACAATAAAGATGAATTTAATTAACTATGTAAAGATAAACCTTTTTTAAAATAAAAAGAATACTCTATCCAGTATCAAATTTCTTAAAGAAAAAAGCCAAATAACTGCAGATATGGGATAATTCTATGAATGCATATATCTATTAAAGGACTGTACTAACTGAAATATCTCTGGCCTGTTTTTAGGTCACATTTAAAATTTCTCAGACCCTTTTGCCATACTCAAGTGTTACACAGGTTTAAGAAAGGCCTACGAATAAAGAGAAGTCCTGGTAACTACATATTTCTGGAGAACTGAAATTATTTAATTCATGAGGGAACAGTCCTCTTTGAAGACTTTCTCTGTTTGGAGGGACTGAACATTGTGTTATTCAGTGTTGTCTTAAATTAAAAGCACAAGCTCCAAATTATCCTACTGCACAAGTCTAATCATTGTGGATCCCATGATCAGGGAAGACAGAGAGAGCAGTCTGCAATTCAGTTCTCAGTCTTCTGAAAAACTGCAGCACAGCACATTTGTTATAACACTGCCGCACATCATTTCCCACACAATACCCAGAAGGTATGGGGCAATGAAAACCGAGTATGAAATCATGGATGCTTATTATACCAAGCGCTATTCCAAGATCTTAAGCAGATCAAAATTAGACATAACAATCTTTAGTGTCAATGGTGTTCTATGAACATCTATTAAGATATGTTTGTATGAGGCGTGATTTCTTTTCAGAAAACAAGAAAGCTGTGCTCAAAGTTAAGTATTTTACTTAAAAATAAACCAAATCTTAGGTTGAAAGTATAGCTCAGTGTTGACATACTTGCTTGGGGCGTTGGATTCAATCCCCAACATTAAAAAAATAAAATAAAGTGAACAGACCAAGTGACTTAAAACGTTATCTACACCTTTCCTTTGTTATTTTAGAAGGATTTAATGTCTACATATTTGTTGTTCATTCGTTATGATGTACCAACACAGTATATACACTTTTCTTGCTATCATAGAAACTGAGGTCCCATAATTTTCTAGACACATGAGATTTATATCTGACCCACAAGTTTGACCACCCAGCATGGTAAAATCATGTTGATGTATCCAGTGTTTCCTTTATTTAAGATGTGTGTGTGTGTGTGTGTGTGTGTGTGTGTGTGTGTGTGTTTGCCTATAAACATGTCTGTACACTCTGTGTGTTCCTGGTGCCTGCAGCACCAGCGGAGGCTGGCAGAAGTCCCCCTGGTACTGGAGTTACAGACAGGTGTGAGCCACCATGCGGGTGACCAGAACTGCACCAAGGCCCTCTGTGAGATCAGCAAGGGTTCTTTGTGGCTGAACCACTTTTTCAGCCCTGGAATCCAGTGTTTCAGGTTAAGGTGCTGACCTAAACTTTCCTGTTAAAGTCAGAAAAAAAAAGTCACTTCTCTGTAGTACCTTAGGTAAGACTGTAGACAAATTCACTGTAAGATTTCAAAGCATGCGGAGTCACTTTCCTACTCCCTGGCTGACTAAGGAGGAATGCACTTCCTGTCTTTGACTCCAGAGTCTAAATAAAAAGGGAAAAACTTCCTGTGATGCAGGTTTGGGCCCCTAGCTTTCAACAGAGAAAGGCACAGAGCAGGCAAACCCTAACCCCTGCATGTTCCCTTAGAAGATTCAGCTTTTCTAACTGCTGTCTTCAGCTTCCTTCAAAAACTGCAAGTGGCTGAAATCCACACTCTCAAGTTTTGAATTTTTAAATTTAGTATGCAACACTAACTCTTGTCACGGTAATTTATCTTGGGACAGAGTGTTTTATTTAAATGACACACTTAAACGAGAGTTTCCCAAGAATAAATGTCTATTTTTATCACTAGTCTTCAAATGTAGAAGTTTATCTATTCTATTGCTTGAAGCCACGTTATAGGGGTGTTGAAAGTCTTGTGCTCATTCATATGTGCATGAAATGTTCTCCCTCAGTACTGTTTAAAACAAACGTCCTAAATGACTATGGATGTTGGAATAACAGGTTCAATGCCTTAAATTTCAACCAAGTAGAGCTGGGATGACGAAGTTAGGAAAACATATTCATAAAAAACATCACAATACCTTCACAGCACTGTGGAAAGTCCAACCATGTCGCCAAGCATGTGCCATCACATCCAGTGAAGGCCAGGAAGCAGTGCAAAGACTGGGATGGCAGCCCATAGCACCTGCGGATGAAAACTCACCTTCCCTGTGAGACCTTCCAGCTCAGAGGCATGCAATCAAGAGTCCTCTAATATCCCAGAAGCAGAAAGACACACAGGGTATACACTCACTCATAAGTGGATACTAGACATACAATCTAGGATAAACATACTAAAATCTGTGCATCTAAGGAAGCTGGTCAGGAAGGAGGACTCTGGCTAAGATGCTCAATTCCCATTCAGAAAGGCAAAGAGGATGGACATTGGAGGAGGGAGAAAATAGGGAACAGGACAGGAGCCTATCACAGAGGGCCTCTGAAAGGCTCTATCCTGCAGGGTATTGAGGCAGATGTTGAGACTCATAGCCAAACTTTGGGCAGAGTACAGGGAATCTTATAAAAGAAGTGTGAGATAGTAAGACCTGGAGAGGACAGGAGCTCCACAAGGAGAGCAACAGATCCAAAAAGTCTGGGCACAGGGGTCTTTTCTGAGACTGATATTCCTGCCAAGGACCACTCATGGAGATGTCCTGGAACCCCTGCACAAAGGTAGCTCATGGCAGTTCAGTATCTAAGTGGGTTCCACAGTAATGAGAACAGGGACTATCTCTGACATGAACTGATTAGCCTGCTCTTTGATCACCACCCCCGTGAGCGGGGAGCAGCCTTAGCAGGCCACAGAAGAAGACAATGTAGCCACTACTGATGAGACCTGATAGACTGAGGTCAGAGGGAAGGGGAGGAGGACCTCCCTTTTCAGTGGACTGAGAGAGGGACATGGGTGGGGCAGAGGGAGGATGGGATTGGGAGGGGAGGTGGGATGGAGGTACAGGGGGTATACAAAGTGAACAAACTGTAATTAATAAAAATAAAAATAATTAATAAAAAAGAGCCCTTTAGCTATAACACAAGCACGGTGGATGGGGAACTCCTGGGACAGACATTAGGCACTAGACCACAAGGGCACAAGCATCCTCAAAGAAACACAGACTGTGGAATCTTTTAAGCTACAGTGTGACCAGATTGCTGCAACAGAGCTCCCTCTGTGAGTGAAGTTAGGAATACGCTCCTGACAGCTGCGAGTGAATCCCTCTCATGTAGCATGCTTGGCTGTGAATGCAATGTCAGTCTGTTAACACAGCAATCCAGGGGGGCGAGGTGGATGGGCCCTTTGGCTGTACTTTAATATGCTAAATATAACTTTGATTCATTTGAGAAGGGAGAATAGGAATGAATTAGGTCTAAAATGCATTGAAAGACAGTAAACTCTATTATTGTATAAATGGGGCTTGGCACCAAATGACACATTTTATTAAATGTAATGTGCAAAATAGAACGAAGTGACCTCTATTCAAAAAAGGTATAAGACGGGATTATGTAAAAGGCTTCAGTACTCGTTCTCAATAAAAAGAAATCTGGCTTTATAAAAATACATAAAATAGTCATGGATTTATACCATTAATTTACATAAGATATTTTTCATATAAAACAAAGTTATAAAATACTTTTAAAAACACCTTTTTTATATGAAAGTTATTCCCAGTATAAAATTTTTATAACTTTTTTTGTAATTTTGGTTCATCTATATAAATAAAGCATTTTTTCCTTTTAAAACCATGTAAGTCCATTTAAAAACATAGGGTTCTGTCTCTTTTAAATAGAAGCCCAGGTGAGGTAGTATGCGGGAGCTTCGCTGCAGCCCCGTCCAGTCTATGTGTCCACGTCACAAGGCTGGCAGTCTGGAGTCCTGTGAGTGCCCAACGTCTGTTGGTAAGTACACCTGTGATTTTCTTCCTGAAAATCTGTCCTTTGTTTCTCATCTTCCTCTGACTCAGAGTCCAACCCGGGTGTGGAGAACTTCCCGTGAAAGGGTCTTGGCTGACTCTCTGGTGGTTGTGCAAAGCTTGAGAAGGCATCCAGGTGCGGCCTCCTCAGAGGTTTTCCAAAAGTACCTGTAAGAAAAGAAAACCCTACTGAGTGCTTGGGCCCTTTTGCTAGCAAGTAAATGGACACTGAAAGGGGCAAGCATGTTTCCATTAACATGGATCAGCATTTCCTAAGTCCCTAAGCAGGTGTAGGTCAGTACCGTGAAGAGACTACTGACAGAACACCTGCACACCCGCTTATTTAAAGCCATCAAATAAATGCATCCATTTTCATCTCTTCACGAAGCTCCTGAAGCCTGTCACCTGAAAAGTGCTCCCGGACCTTCTGCTTGAGAATGCGTAAGGCCATGATTCTCCGAGAAGGGTCATTTCGCAACACAGAATCAGTTCTGCCTGAATACAGCCAGCAGTCTTTCATCAGCCTCTTGTCCTGCCCTTTCTTCAACGGCAGCAAAACATCATCCGATTATCTAAAATTCCTTCCCTACTTCTACAAAACATACTTTTTCCCTTCAGGAAGGTATATAAATAATCATACTGGGACAACGGGTAAAATTTCTTAAACACTTAAGTAAAAATGGTTTGGAATCCTCCTTGAGAAACAAACCAAGAACACAAAAACAGGCCACAGCAGGTTAAGGCTTGCCTTCCCAGAGTGCTTCCCTCAGCAGAAAGAACGCCCACTCCCTGCTCTTCCCTCCGTCTGTTCCCACACACACGAGACCAAAACCCTCATACTCCGTCCGTGGGGCCAGCTGCTGTCTGAGCCCACTGAGGTGTGCTGCAGGCGCCGTGGGCCTCCTGCTGAAGATAGGCTCCCTCTTGTCTGGGGCTAGACTAGGTAGGGTGCCACTGTCCCAGTTTCCACTGCGAGTTCAGTTAGAAGTCGCCAGACATACGAAACCACAGCCATGCCGAGTATACAGCTCCACCCCTCAGGCTGCCATTACCCAAAACCTCTTTTTCCACATGGCTGACAAGCTCAGCTCCTAAGTTATTTCCCAAACTCTTGACTCCTCCATGCCACACACACAGCATAATCCAGAAAGCTCCCGGGCTCAGGTACAAATTAAATAGATACCAACTCGCAAGACCCACCTGAGTGCATTTTAGAAACGTCTGCGTCTCAGAGGTTATTGCAGTGACATTAGGAAGGAAACCAGTGTCCAGAGCTTTGAGTGTGAGTCGGAGAAGTAAAGTAATTCCCAGCTGGAAAAACTTACCCATGAAAGAGTTGCTTGAAGCAACTGATCCTGGTTCCAGACTTGTACTAAAATCCAAAGAGGACTTGTGTAGACATACAGTCTGAATCGCAGGTCCCTCATTCTGGGAGTAGGTGGAGTTCATGAGCTTTCTCGGGTGTGGCCATGGGATGCTACTGAGGCTCCGTTCACAGGGCTCCTCTGAGGGGTGGGCACAGGGGAAGCAGTCCTTCTTCATGTAGCTAGGCTCATAGTGGTCCATTAAAGCTATCCTGGGGTCAGAGCTGCAACCTTTGCAAGTACGGATGTGCAAAAGAAAGGGATACAGTTAGCATGTCGAGAAGAAGTTACAGGAAACAAAACAGTATTTGAGCAAGAAAACCATACCTGGAAGATAAACTTCAAATGGATCTGGTCCGTAAACATTCCCCTTCAAGTACACAGGGCCTGTGGAACCCACAAATGGGCATAGGAAGGGATCAGGGGTAGCTTCCACATCAGCCTCACTGCTGTTGTCAATATGGCAGGCCCCTTTAAAACACATCAAATGCCATTCAACATTCTTCCTGATTCTGCATTTTCCATATTTATAGAAGAAAACTTGGCTAGAATGTGATAAAAATGAAAACATGTACACACGTATGGAATTTTTCCTATTTCTTGAGCCCCATGCATTTGGGCTTAAAATGAAGCTAACCTTGGGAGGAGACTAAATGCTTCATCGGGATCCACCAATCCACAAATCCTATTTGTGTTTTAAGGGAAACGGATCTATGCCTACAGCCATGGTATGACCTCTTGGGAATGTTGCTTTCCCATAAAATGTCACAATTGACTAGAACCATGGAGTGACATTTGGCTAGAAACCTCTTAGTGTCCTACCTCAAGGATGACTCAAAAACCAAACCAAACCATCTCAGGGCAGTTAGCAATGCACATGGCTGTGGGAGGACTACATAGGGTCTTGGAGTTGCCATGGAGACAGAGGATGAATGCTGAATGTGTGTTTGGAGGCGCTGGAGCTTCTCCTGACTCTTCTCTAGCACTTCTGTCCCTTAACAACGCTCTTACTCATGTGTTCCCAATTAGCTTCATTATGCTGGACAAAGGCTGGATCTCTGCTCTTTGCCAACATTCACATTCACTTCACGCTTGGATTTTCTGTCTCTACCTGTTCTTACGGTTTTGCCAAGCACTATATAGCTGGTCTGTCTGCCTGTTTGCTTGTTTGCTTCCTTCCTTCTTTCCCTTCTCCTTCTTTCCCTTCTCCTTCTTTCCTTCCTTCCTTCCTTCCTTCCTTCCTTCCTTCCTTCCTTCCTTCCTTCCTTCCTTCCTTCCTTCCTTCCTTCCTTCCTTCCTTCCTCCCTCTCCTCTCCTCTCCTCTCCTCTCCTCTCCTCTCCTCTCCTCTCCTCTCCTCTCAAGTATTTGTCTCACCCATGACTAAACTCTGAACTGAGAACAAGCATCTTCCTTTTAATTGTGCAGTCTGGTATGGAGCAAATACAAATACTCAGTAAAGACTTGTGGCAAAGCATAAAATGCTGAGGATAGCCACAGAAATGTGTCACATGCAGAGTCCTTGGCATGTGCCGAGCACCAGGTACTCCGTTCTCTGTCTTGACTGGAAACCAGCTATCTGGGAAGGGCTTCAGTGGCCTGCTGACATCAGGAATGGGTCTGGGCAGGGAGACTCCCACATCATACCTCCTCCACAGTTACTGTAGATACATAAGGCACCTACAATAGAGGTCACATCAGCTTCCTGCTATGGTCTGTAAGCTATCTGGCCTCCGACACTATTCAAGCAATGTCAACGGAGAACGTGCAGCACCAAAGAACATTTACATGAAGAAAATATGACAATCTGCACAGAAACTACCTTTGACCTAATTTGCTATCTTTTTTTTTCTTTTATCATAAAAAGGTGCTTTTCAAGAGTTTGAGAAAGGATATAAAATGTGTGTGTGTGTGTGTGTGTGTGTGTGTGTGTGTGTGTAAAAATAAAAGATCAGATAGATCCCTCTGGAGCTGGAATTACAGGCACTTCTGAGCCACTGGGATCCAAGCCAAGTCCTCCGTAGGAATAAGTACTCTTAACAGCTGAGCTATCTCTCCAGGACACTGACATTGGAATTTTGGGGGATTGCCATGAATTTGTAGATTCCTTCTGATAGTATAGCAATTTTCTCAATATTAATTCTTCTGATCCATGATCATGGGAAGTCTTCCCATGCTCTACACTTTTCTTCAATTTCTTTGTTCTGATTTTAAAGTTTTACTTGCATTGGTTTTGATTTTTTTTTTTTTTTTGCTTTCTTGTTTGAAATTTATTCCCTTAGCAGCTATAAAAGGATCCTATGCCTACTCAGAGGGATGATCCTCTTTCTCTGAGAGTTCCTTACTGTTTGTCCACAGCATTCAGTCTTTAATAAAACTTTAATGATACTTTTACATCCATTCTGGAAAGCAGATGGGGAGGGAAGAGGAAGGGGAGAAAAGGAAAGGGGAGGAGAGGGAGGGGAAAGAAGAGGGAAAGGAGAGGAAGGGGAAGAGAGAGAAGGGAAGAGGATAAGGAAGAGAGGAATGGGGAGTGGAGGGTGAGGAAGAGAAAGGAAAGAGAAGGGGAGAGAAGGGAGAAAGGGGAAGGGGAAGAAGGGAAGAGGAGGGGGAAAGGAGGGAGAAGGGGAGGGGACAGAGAATTATAGCTTTGCTAATAACCTTGGGCCAGGTCCTCAGCACTGTTATCAACTTCTACAAATGACTATTACACACAGGACTCCCCTGTGACTTCAGAACAACACGGACATCTCAGACACTCACCAGCTCCATCATGTTGTGGTAAGAAAAATCCGCCTCCTGAGGAAGTGATGAACTGGTGGTGACTTCCACTTTCTGAGGAGACATACCCGTCCTGTCTGTCAGCTAATGTTCCCTGAGAGGAGAGATAACTGGGGATATCGGCTGGCAAGTTGGTCTCATCTGTAAGGAGGCAAATGCATTCCATCAACAGTCCTGCCCGCCGCCTCTGTGCAGGCGGCACAGCACAGGCTGCTCTGGCTCCTGTAGCATCCCCTCTGGGAAAAGCAGGAACGGCACGTGATGGCTTTTCAGCTCTGGGACACTAGTTAATGTTGGTGTCATTACTCAGGAAATTCACCCCTGGGTGAATTTCAAAAGCACATGTTCAATTGATCATGACTCAAAAACATGAATCCAGGCCCTTGGTCACCCTCCATTTCATCAGTAGCAGAATTTGCAGCCAACCCTATATACACACAAAGTGCTGCGTGTGCGTGTGCATGTGTGTGCGTGTGCGTGTGTACACAGACACAGAGCACTGCTGCTCTTTGAGAGTGAGTCAACTCAGCTGGCGCCGGCGTCCCTTTGCTCATCGTGGAGAAGGGCAATTTCCCTCTATCCTGATTAGGTTTTAATACAAAGATTAATCTTTGTGCACTGACCTATCAGGCTGGCGTGTAATTTTTAGCTAAGCGTATTCCTGCAGCCTGCAGCCAATGAGTCACCCCTCTGAGACAGGCTCAGACTGGGAGCCACATTCTAGCAGGGAATGTCCGAGAAACCACAACTACACACGACCGGTACGTTTGGGGCCGAGCTCGTGCTTACACACCTGTGTTGGTAACGCTGCAGTCCTCGTTCCTCCGCCTGGTGTGGTATATGATGACCACCCACACGAGGGACGTGCCCACCACACAGCAAACCACGGCTATGATGACGACGCCCACGGTGGCCCAGCCATTGTCATCTAGCGAGGGGGCAGTCATGTGAGGGGAGTCGCAGGTAGGAGAGGGAATCACGCTGAGGCGAACGTTGCCTCGCTCCGTGCCGACGGTGTTGGACATCTCACACGTGTACTTGCCGGCGTCACTGACGTCAGAGTCCACAATGATCAGCAGCTGATTGCCTGCTGCGAAGAAGTGCCTCTCTGTCACCACCAATGGGCTGTCGTCTTTCGTCCAGTTGAGCCTGGGGGGCGGGCTCCCGCCCGCGATGCACTGCAGGACCGCCGTTTCTCCCTTGGTGACTGTTCTGTCCAACAGAGGCCGCAAAAAGGACGGTGTCTCTGAAAGCGCAAGGTTTCAGTTTCTGAAGTGAAAACTGGGTTCTGCGTAAGACCTAGCAGCTGAATTTATTTAAATCGTATACTACTACCGCCCACTGGATGAGCATATTAAAGAGCCCCAGACACGGCCACCTCTGACCATGTCAACCATCCGACCAGTTAAGGGTGCCATCCTCCCTCAGTTGTGGAAAGGTTAGTTAACTGGTAGTAGGAAGATAGAACATTTTTAAAAGTCTAGAAGTTGTGTAAAAATAATTTCACGCAGAAGACTGGGTGGATGCGTCTCAAACACTTTTGTTTTTCTTTATTGTGTTTACTTATGTGTATTATATGCATGTGAGAAGGTGCATGAGAGGTGCTTGGAGTCCAGCGAGGGTGGGCTCCCTGGAGCTGGAGTTGATGACAGGTGAGAACTGTTCCTTGTGGGTGCTGGACCCCAACTCAGGTCCTCTGAAACAGCACGCACTCTTAACTACTGAGCCATCTCTCCAGCCCCACAATTACTCTTTTAAAATTAAATTTCTCATGCCAGAAAACTAGGTCTGTATGAAGACCCTGGGCCTGCTTCTGTTACCTGGCATCTTGGTAGGTTATTGTAACTCACTCAAAGACACATGGATCATGTACTTGTTCCCAATCTGACAAACAGGTGAGAGGTAAGAATGAGGACTTCCACAGAGACATAGGAGGCAGAGCAAAGAGATGACGGGTCATCCCTATCTAGCTATAGATGCTTTCTTACACATTCCTAACGACCAATGGCCGTGATTAATCCTTGTGCACAAGGACAGCCCTGGAGATTACACCTGGAGTGAAGGGGTCACCTCCCTGACCACAAACCTGAATGTGGATTCAGAGCTAGCCAGTGGCTGTTTGGTTTTTTTGAAGGCAGAGCTCTCTGGGTCTTTATCTAGCTCCCTCCCTGCCCCAACCGTCACCCCTGTCTCCTTGACCCAGCCCCAGTCCCTCCTCCACCAGCCACCCACCCCCAGCAGCTCCTAGCATGGCAGGTCAGCAGGGATTCGCAGTCTTGAGAAACCACCTCACCTAGCACTGTCAGGGTGGCGCTGGCAGAGATGCTCCCTGCACTGTTCTGTGCCGTGCAGCTGTACACCCCAATGTCCTCGATCTTCACGTCCACTATGAAGAAGACATCATCCTCAGGCATCACGTGCATCCGTCTCTCCCGGGCGGCTGGGAAGTCTGTGCCTCCATCCTTCTGCCAGGCTATCTGTGGGGCGGGGTGTCCCACGGCAGCACACTCCAGGCGGGCCATGGCCCCAGCTCGGACGGTGAGGTCCATGGGGGTCTTGGTAAATGATGGCAGCACTGAAATCACAAATCCATGCAGCTGTGACACTGCTTCTCTTGCTGGGTGCTCACAGAGGTGGCAGCCCAGGTAGGGTGGGGCTCTTCCTAACTCAGAGACAGGGAAACTGAACTTGCGCTGGAGAAATGAAAGAGCTTGCTCGGGGTTACAGGGACGCAGGTGTGATGGAGTCACGACACAAGGGTCATAAGATCTTCAAATGGAAGGTGCTCCTGGCATTCTTTGGCCACATTTTAGTTTTCTCAATAATTAAGTGTGAGATCTTAAGGAAAAATAATCAATAAATCTCTCTGTAGTGTGAGCATGCACTTCAACTATTTTTCCCCAGTCCTGCAGGACCTAACATTTTGTGACTTTATCCCGATCTACACTCTCAATTCTCCTATGTGTCAGGCCTTGGCAATTGCTTGCTGAATGAATTCATTAGTGAATCATATCCTGAATGTTCTACCGGGCAGACATTAACAGCTAAAATGATAGAGTGGCCAGCATCCAAGCTACAGTCCTAGGCTACAACTGTGGGATTGTATGCCTGCCGTGCAAATGCTTACTAACAGTGGCTGCTGTGAATGCGATCACTGAGCAACCCAAATTCCAAGGTCCTCCAGCAAGCCACTGACAGACACATTACCTTATCTATAAATCACGACTTTTCTAGGACCTGGCACTCGGTATCTCTTTATTTCTTATGTGCTTTGTTGTTCTGCCTGCACACCTGTCTGTAAGAGAGTGTTAGAGACAGCTGTGAGCTGCTACGTGGGTGCTGGGAATCAAACCCGGGTCCTCTGGAAGAGCAGTCAGTGCTCTTAACTGATGAGCCGTCTCTCCAGCTCCATCTCTTATGGAAAGATGGTTAAGTCACTTGCTGAGAGTCACATAAATATGTATTAAGAGTGGCAGGATTCACACCCAGAGCTCAGTTAAAGGCCGTATGCTTTAAATAAACACTTTGTGGTCCTTCACATCACAGTGCCCCTGAGAGAGCAGGTGTCTGTTTCATCTTAATTCCTGTTCAACCTGAACATTTAGTGAGGTGAAACCAATATCCCAATAATCAAGAACAGTGATTGTGTGTAGTGAGAGATGGGAAATGAGGTAGGTGGGAGACTATGAGAAAGAGAGCAGAGGTAGGGAGAGAGGGAGAGAAAGGGCTGCAGACAGGCACTGCTACTGTTTCTGAAGCTGTGGGTTACGCACTATTCACAGTGAGCTTGGCTTTGACGGAGTACGATGAACCGAAGTGGTTGGAGATGACACACTGGTATTTCCCTTCGCTGGTGAACTCCACACTGCGCAGACGCAGGATAGTGGTATACTCCATCACCTCTCCTCCCTGGGCCCGGAGGTGCGCGTAGTTCTCCATTTCAGCGTCCTGAAGTACTTCGTTGTCTTTCTTCCAAGCGAAAGTCATCGGGGAGTCGCTACTGCTGGCAGCCAAGCAGGTAAAACTCACGTTGGAGCCTTTTATTGCTGACTGTGTTTCTGGCTGGACTGTGATCTGGGGTTTGGGAAAATCATCTGTCGAAAGTGGAGAGGAGGAAACAAAATGGCATGAAGGCCTGAGCGTATACCACCGCTCAAATGCCAACACCAGGAAACAAAGCAGAGGGTGGCGCAGGCTGACCCTACCTATGTCTCACAGAGAGGCCAGCTGTCCCAGGGTCCAGTGACAGAGTCTGTCCAGTGAAGACAAAGGCTCCATCATAATGATGGAGAAAAGTGTTACCTTGAAATGATCATACAAGTTTGTGCCATATGCCTGGCGTTTTGTGTGAGCAGAAGAAGAGCAGTGAAGAAGTCACAAGGGAAATTAGAGCATATTTAAAACTGAGTGATGCAGCAGGCTCACACCGGCTGACAGCAATTAAGTGACTATTCCAGAGGAGCCTGCAGAGAGAATCTGCTGGATTGCCAGCACAACGGAGTGATTTAAGTGTGAGGTGACAGGCCCACCAGCTAGCCTGGTCTGCTCTCAGCGCATCTTCATGTACTAAACTGCCACAGGATATCCTGTGCACATGGAGGATTACCATGTTGATTACCATTAAACACAAGAATATATGTACATATATCATATATCAGTTATATATGTATTATGTATATAATACACATATGTATACATTATATATACACACATATATACATTATATACATATATACACGTATACACAAACACACACACACACACACACATACATATTTATTTTTCTCAACAGGGTCTCATTATCTGGCTCTGGTTGTCCTCATTCAGTAGAGCAGGCTGGCTTCAATCTCACAGGGATCCCCCTGCCTATGTCTCTACACTGCTGGGATTAAAGGTGTGTGCCACCCAGCAAGAATATTTTTTTAAGGAAGTAAAGAAAGGCTGATTAAAATATTCCAGGCTCACAGACGATCTTTGAATGTGGTTCCCAAGAACTGCAACCTTTTGCCCCAGCTCTCCATCAAACATCAGTGGCAAACAATCCTAACCCACATCATCAGGACATCAACAAGCGGCTGTAGAGCCCACGTGTTCCTGCAGAGGACCTGGGGTTGATTCCCAGCACCTCCTAACTGTAACCTCAGTTCCTGCTGTTCCTCTTCCGGCCCTATGGGCACCTGCAGAGACATGCTTCACAACACAGACAACAGGCTCACACAGACAGTAAAACAGTGATCAACAAAAAGCAAACAGACAGAATGAGCAAAAAGGCCAAAAATAAATGGAAGCAAATGAAAAAGCACGTGCAAGCTGGCCCAGGGCTGGGCCCGAGGCAGCCAGTCCATCAATCAGGCTGCTGCACAGCCTGCCAGTGCTACACTATAATTAGCACTGGGCAACTCTCTCATTCTACGCGGTTAGTTCTAGTTCTCTGTTACTTTTTGGAAGAGGTACCTTTTCTGAACTCCAGTTTCTCAGAGATGGTCTAAATAAACCTTGAAGGAAACTACAGATCTCCCCACATGGACTTCTGGATAACGGCTAATCTGAAAACACAAGTTTTCAGGGCTCTGACCACGGCTCCACTGCCAGCTTCCTACCCTGTGGCTGTGGGTTGTTGGAATAGGACAGTTTCTTCTGTGTGATTCTTTGAAATCTCCATTCCATAATCAGTGTTCTGATTCACAACACAGAAGGAAAAACAAACAAACAGACAAACAGACGAGCACTGTGGATGGTGCCTATGTTTCTGTCCCACAGCACCAGGGAGTTCGCACACCCAGGCTAGAGAGCCAGGAGATAAAAAGTGCGAGGAAGAAGGAGCTTATGGGATAATGCCAAAAACTTGTCTGGATCCAAAACCTACATCAGGGATTTTACTTCCAAAAAACTGCTGACACCATTAAATTCTGCAACCTAATATATATATATTATAAATATATAATTATATATAATATGTAATACATAATTACATATAATTATTATATATATATAACTATAGTATGTGATAATATATAATCTAATATAGTAGTATATAAATCCATGCATAGTAATGCACTCCTCTAGTCCCAGCACAAGGGAAGCAGAAAGCAGGTTGATCTCTGTGAATTTGAGCCCAGCCTGGTCTATAGAGTAAGTTCCAGGACAGCCAAGGCTACACAGAGAAACCCTGTATAAAGGAAAGAAAGAAAAAAAGAAAGAAAGAAAGAAAGAAAGAAAGAAAGAAAGAAAGAAAGAAA